TTGGGAGAGAAAAGCTGATTTTTCAGGTGAAAATGTTGAGCTGCCGTTGTGTTTTCTGCCTGAATAACACACAGGTGGGTTCACCCTGAGTTCTGCCACCTGCCAAGGCTGGTTTTTACAGCTTCAGTTGTGCTCAGCCTCTTCAGTGTCTGCAGTTGGCTCTTGCAAATGCGTTTTTGCTCGTTGGCCATGAGTGAGGAATGTCTCCAGGAGCAGTGGGAGAACCTGTCTGTCCTTGGAAAAGGGGAGGAGGCCGATTGTGGGAAGGGCATTGGAGGGCAGTGGATGCCAAGGGCTTTGCCTGTTTCCTCCTGGGAAGTGTGTGGGTGGAAGCTGAAGGCAGAGAGCGAGTTTTGTACCTTTATTGAGGTAAGAAATTCCAGCTGAAAGGATCTGCCTCCACCAGAGGTGTCTGTTTGTGGAGCAGGATGGAACTGGGCTAAAACCTGTCCCTGTGTCCCTGTTAATCTGTGTGGGGACAAACTTCAGCCTGGTCTTGTGCTCCTGGTGGAGCCTCAGCTGGTTTTTCACGGTGAAATACAGATTATTATTATTTTCTTCTTTTGTTTCTGGGGGTGTTGGGAACTACAGATGTGGATCATGGAATGGTTTGGGTTGGGAGGGACCTTAAAGTCCAATTCCACCCCTGCCATGGGCAGGGACACCTTCCACCAGCCCAGGTTGCTCCAAGCCCTGTCCAACCTGGCCTTGGGCACTTCCAGGGATCCAGGGACAGCCAGAGCTGTGTGGCTGCATAAAGGGGCTCCAGGAGAGCTGGAGAGGGACTGGGGACAAGGGATGGAGGGACAGGACACAGGGAATGGCTTCCCACTGCCAGAGGGCAGGGTTAGGTGGGATGTTGGGAAGGAATTGTTCCCTGGGAGGGTGGGGAGGCCCTGGCACAGGGTGCCCAGAGAAGCTGTGGCTGCCCCTGGATCCCTGGAAGTGTCCAAGGCCAGGCTGGACAGGGCTTGGAGCAACCTGGGCTGGTGGAAGGTGTCCCTGCCCATGGCAGGGGTGGCACTGGGTGGGCTTTGAGGTCCCTTCCATGATCCATTTGGATCCATATTCCATGTCTGTAGTTTTGTCTCATTCTGAAGTGAGCAAGTTGCCTCTGGTTTGTCAGGAATGTTTGGGAAGCCCTCAGTGATCAGGGCAGGGGCTGTGCAGAGTGTGGTGTCCCCAGAACATTGCTCAGCACTGACTGTGCACAGTGGGAAGGGCTTTACTGGGGTAAACCTGAGTCACTCTGTGGGTTGGAAGTTGGCTTAATTATATCAACATTATATCCCTTGTAGCTGCCAAACCAAACAATGTGTCTCCTTTAAATCACAGAAGGGAAGGGCTGGTTTTTATGTAGTTCAGTGTCTTTGGAGTTGGAGCCATTCTGTCCCAGTGAGAAGAGTTCTTTCATAAGTCATCTAGCCTGGGTGAGGGGAAGGGCACAGACACATCCCTGCTCTGAGGAGGGACAAACAGAGCCCAGATGGAGCTATTTGAAAACAGGGAAGGGCCAGATGGTTGAGCCCAGATCCTGCACAGACGAAAAATAACGTTGGAATTGAGTGAGTGACTTTGGTGTTTAAAGTAACATCCCAACTGTGGCTTTCTGGAGCTGGGTACAGGAGGGCAGACGTTTTGATCTTATTCACAGGAGGTGACCTGTGTTTGTAATGTAGTCAGACTCTTTATTTATTCATTTTTATTCCTCTTCTTAGAGTAGAATTTCTGATTGTTGACATTAGCCAGAAATATGGTCGCCATCAGTCTGTGCTGTAACATAATCCTGAAGGACATTTGTTGTTAGTCTTTAACAAGTGGCTGGAAATGAATTATGGAGGTTGGCAATACTAAACCCAAATAGAATGGTGCTGAAGTAGCTGTGAATCAGTTAATTAACTTTGCTTTCCTCTTCCCATAGTTAAAGTTCTCTGTGACCTTCTCTCTCTGCAGCAAGACCTTCCTTACCCTTGGTATCAGTTGATTTGCTGAGTTGGTTTCTTTTTTCCCTGTGTTAGAAAGGCACTGTATTGTATTATCTGCTAATTTGGAGACTGGAAACGTTGGTGTCTAATCCAGAATCCTTGACATGACTTTCAGTCTTAAAGTTTTTGGGTCGTGTGATGATTTTCTTTTGTAATTCTGTTGGAGGTGGGTTGTTTTTTAAAAATACCTCAGTAAAGCATCCATAGAGTTTATCATGGAATCATGGAATGGTTTGGGTTGGGGGGGACCTTAAAATCATCTCAACCCATGGTCAGGGAACCTCCCACTGGAAGGTTCTGTGTGAAATACTTACTCTGTAAAAGACTGTAAGAACTGCTCAGGAGAGTTGTCCATCTGCAGATGTCACTGATTTGTGTTTGGCTGCCTTGCAGGTACCTGGGCCAGGGCTGTTCATGGCCAGATTGATGTGCAGGTGCCAGGGCAGCAGGGCAGTGTGAGCTGGGAGGCCATGGCAGGATTCCTGGACAACTTCCGCTGGCCGGAGTGCGAGTGCATCGACTGGAGCGAGCGCAGGAACGCCGTGGCCTCCATCGTGGCCGGGGTGCTGGTGAGCTGGGCTGCCAC